TATTCCTACTTTTTTAAAATCCATTTCCCATTATGCCCCTAGTGTTTTTACTAAAAATTCATTGACTAATGGGCCAGTTTTGCACTTGTCACTTATTCCGTGGCTTCCCATCATCTACAGTAGTGATTTTTCAATATGTATTCCAAGAAGATTCAAGTGTTAATAGAATTGCCTCAGGGATCCTTAAAGATGATGAAGCTAGATGGATAAAGTTTCCTTGTTATCTCTTCTTCTTTGCAAGATTGTTTCAAAGAAGGATTTCCCCAAAATAAACTCTTTTAAGATGTCCCTGTATATCAATTCACATTCAATTTAGTGCTACTGCTTTTTATAAAATCTATACATTTGATAGAAATGTAAATCTGGTTTATATATTCAGCCAATTCTAAGCCTCCAGATTGATGAACTAGAGATGCTGTTTCAGGCCTTTGTTTTGGCTTCTAGATGCGCTAGTACAATTTTCAGAGTCTCTTCTGACATCCATTTCAGTTTTTTCTTTCTCCTGTCTTTGTAATAACCTTTTGCCTTCTTCATCAATGATATCCTTGATATCATCTTACAACTCATGCGGTCTTTGATCACTGGTGTTCAATGCCTCAAACCTATTCTAGAGGATTTTGAAATTCAGATGGAACAGATTCAAGCTCCTATTTTGGTTCTTGTGGACTGGATTTAATTTACTTCAGCCTCAAGAAAAGTCAAAACAAAGGGAAAACATGGAGAAGAAAAAAGAGCTGAACAGAAGATTTCAAAGGGCAGCTTGAGAAGACAAAGTATTATAATGGAATGTGCAAAGAGCTAGAATTGGAAAATGAAAAGGGAAGAACTCGATCCGCATTTATCAAACTGAGAGTATTGAATCGCAATACTGAAAGATGGTATGGGGACTATGGGCACCCAGGAAGCATCAAAATAAGATGGAGGGAATGTACAGTCACTGTTCAGAAAGAATTGGTGGTTCAGGAACTACCATATAAGCAAGAGCCAATGGTAATGAAGGAATAAGTGCAAGTTGCATTGAAGGCATTGGCAAAAAATAAGGCCCCAGGAATCTATGGGGGAAAAAAGACTTGTTTTAATTAACAGAAGCAGCCTTGGATGTGCTCACTAGACTATGCAAGGAAATTTGGAGGACAGCTATCAATGGATTGGAAGAGGGTCTTATCTGTTCCTATTCCTAAGAAAGGTGATCCAATTGAATGTGGAAACTATTCAACAGTATCCTTAATATTATACATAAGCAAAATACTGTGGAAGATCATTAAAAAACAGTACATAGACAGGGAACTGGAAGAACTTCAAGCAGGATTTAGAAGAGGCCACGGCACCAAGGATATCACTGCTGATATCAGATGGATCCTGGCTGAAAGTAGAGAATACCAGAAAAATGTCTATTTGTTCTTTACTGACTATGCAAAGGTGTTTGACTGTGGATCATAACAAATTGTGGCTGACACTGAGAGAATGGGAAAGCCAGGGCACTTAATTGTGCTCATGTGAAACCTACACCCAGACTAGGAGTCTGTTGTGTGAACAGAGGACAGGACACTGCATGGTTCAAAATTAAAAAGGAAGTGTGTCAGGGTGGTATTCCCTCTCCTTGTCTAGACAATCTGTATGCTGAGCAAATCATTTGAGAAGCTGAACTATGAGGACAAATGTGGCATGAGGACTGGAGGGAGACACATCAGTAACATGTTTTGTGTAGATGTCACAACCTTGCTTGCTGAAAGTGAAGAGGACTTAAAGCACTTGCTGCAGATCAAGGAACACAGCCTTTGGTATGAATTGCACCTCAATGTCAAGAAAACAAAGATTCTTACAACTGGATTGATAATCAACATCATGATGGATGGAGAAAGACTGAAACTGACAACTTCATTTTACTTGGATCCACAATCAACATCCTTAGTATGAGCTGTCACACAGGACATGCACTGCACTGGGAAAGTCCGCCATTACAGACCTTCCAAATTATTTAGGAGTAATAATGTCAGTTTGAGGACTAAAGTTCATCTGATTCAAGGCATAATCGTTCTAATCACTTGCTATGCATCTGAAAGCTGGACTATGAATGAAGATGACAGAAAAGAATTGATGCCTTTGAGATGTGGTGTTGGAGAAGAATATTGAACATCCCATGGACGGCCAAAAGAATAAATAAATATGTCTTGGATAAAATGCAGTCACTTCATCTTTGGAGGCAAAGAGGATAAAGCTTCACTTCACATACTCTGGGCATGTTGCTAGGTGGGGCTGTTTCTTGGAGAGGGACATGATGCTTGGAAGTGTGGAGGGTTGGCGCAGGAGGGAAGACCCTCAACCAAGTCGATTGACATGATGATTGCCACAATGGGCTCTGGGATGTCAGGAAGTATGAGGATGGCACAGGGTTCAGATCTGTTGTTCAGAGTCATAATGGGTTGTACTTGACTCAATAGCACCTAGTAACATCCCCTGAGTAACCATTTTTCTTACCTGCGAAATTATTCTCCTGTGCCATAGGAAATTTCTAAATAACTATTGAGACTCACTTTACAGATAACAAGACACAAGGTAGTTAACAGTTCTTACAGCATTTTGTACAGTTCTTAACAACTTTGACTATTCATTACATTTTCTATCATTTACATACACCAATAATCCTGGACCTGAGGTCCTGGTTTTCTCACCTATGAACAGAGGGGATAAGTCTATCAGCCTCAAAGAGATGGTGGAAGAGTTAAATGGGGCAATACCCAAAATAGTTTAGAAGAATTCCTGGCACATTTATTTGTTAAACAGATGTAGTTTTACTATTATTATCAACACTATTACTATGCATCTATATAAACTCATTGCTACTGAGTCAGAACTGACCCATAGCTTACCTTCCAGCAGGTTTTCTGAGGCTGTAACTTGGATACTGCCCATCTTTCTCCCATGGAGGGGTTGTCAGATTGAGCCATCAGAGAGCTGCCACCTTTGGGTTAGCAGCATGACACCCTACAGACTACACAGCCAGTTCCCAACTCGTCTATATAGATCTATTAGTAAAATACAGCTCAGAGGCCTTATTTTTATACTCCTAAACCAAAAGGACCTGAAGCACTTGCTTCAGAAAGTCAAGGACTGTAGCCTTCAATATGGAATAGCTCAACATCAAGAAAACAGATTCTCACCAATGGGCCAACTTGGCAGCATCATTATGGCTGGTGAAGTGATTAAGACTGTTGACAGCTTAAGTTTGCTTGGCTTTACAATCAAAACTCTTGGTACCAACAGCTAGGAAATGAAAAGATGAATTACACTGGGACAGTCAGCTGTCAGAGACCTCTCCAAAGTACTGAAGCGAAATGACATCAGTCTGGAGACTAAGGTGCACCTGATACAGGCAATGGTCTTTGCAATTATTTGCTATGCATGAGAAAACTGGACAATAACTAAGGATGACAGAAGGAGAATTGATGCCTTTGAGCTGTGGTGCTGGAGAGGAGTTTTGAATATACTATGGACTGCCAGAAGAACAAACAAGTTCATCCTGGAGAGGGTAAAGTCAGGCTAACTGTTGGAGCCAAGGATTCTGAAGCTTCATCCGGCATACTATGGGCATATTGCAAGGTGGAATCAGTCCTTGTAGAGGGACATCATGCTTGGGAGGGTGGAGGACAGTGCAGGAGAGGGAAACCCTTCATGAGGTGGATTGATTCAGTGACTGCAGTAATGAGGATAGGTGTGTCAGAGACAGTAAGATTGGCATAGGATAGAGCAGAGTTTAGGAATGTTATACATAGGGTCACTATGAGTTGCAGGTGACTCAATGGCACATAACAACAACAACAACAACACAAATCACAGCTCATAGTAAAGAACCTAAGGTCAAAAGGATATTGACCTACATGATACATATACACACAGAGAGTATGAATGTGATGATACAATTAATGTTATCTTAGGTTAAATTTATTATGGTTTCCCAGTGTCTTCTGTTTTGTGTTTTTGCATTTATATAATATGAATATTCGACTCTCCTAGTTGTTGTTATAGACCATCATGTCAGAACCAATCCCTAGCTGATCCTCCATAGAGTTTTCAAGGAAATAAATCACGTGGGAGGAGATTGGCCATCATTTTCCCATGCAGCAGGTGACAGATTTGAACATGCCTTTGGGTTGGCATCACAGCTCCTTACCACTAGGGCACTAGAGTTCTTTATAGCAGAGTAAAACAAAATAAAAATTTTAACATTCAGGTAATTTAGTGAGCATATTTTCCATTAACCTCACATATTCCAGTAGATTTATCTAATTAGAGTGAATGCTATAGATATTAAATCACACATCCCTGAGGTTTTTTTGGCTATTTCCTTCCTTGGTTTGTTCCTATTTGTTAACATGTTGCTTTCTACACACAATGAAAGAAAGAAAAAGGGAGAAATCATTGCAGTTTTATTTAAATTTCAAAATAATTGCTTTATAAAATGGCTTAAGACAAAATTTAAATTGATATGCAAGTAAAAAGGCTGATTTAGGTTCTTTAAATAATGATGAAATTCTGTAATAATAATAAATATTTTACAATCAAGTTTCTTATTTTTATGACATATTGAAAAACTAAGCTCATAAAAATATATAGCAAAATATAACAGTTAATAGTTTCAGTGCTGTTCTCATTTCAAATATATGGCTCTGAAGTTAAATTACTGCCAGTGGCTGTTCACATCACTAAAAACCCATACACAATGTAGCAGAAAAAAAGTATATATTTTAACATTCCCTTCAGTTAATGGTTTTGTTTCTGTAATTCACAGAAACTCCATGAAAGAACCCTCCTAATGAACCCTCCATGTTACAATCACAACCAAATTTTTAGCATCTGGTCAATGAAAATGCAATGTCCTGGCATAATAAGTAGATATAAATAACCCAAAAGTTAGTGTACTTTGGATAAAGACCACCTAAATTAAACTCCATAGCAACCTTTTGGTTAAATGGTACCGTCCTCCTATTAAAGAAAATACTTTACTGCTGAGGGCACTGGGTCTCTGGAGTTGATTTGGACGACACGTATAGAATAGGGTGGGATTTCTTACAAGTTTCCTTTTTCAATTTGCTTGCAGTTCCTTTCCCTTCTTTAACTTCTGCTTGAGGCTTTGATTCTGCAGTTAACCTACAGGCATTAAAGCATTCACTCTGAATTCAAATGTCATTACATTAAACCAAAGAAACAAACCTTTACTATAATGTGCCTCCTCCTAGAAGACATAGTGATTTTTTTGTACAATAAAAGGAATCACAGTGGATCCCAATACCATTAAGAAAATGAAGTTATAGCTTCTCTTAAAGCACCTTTTCTCATGGATAAGCTTAATTTTAAAGCATTTAAAAAATAGATTTTATAAAAAAGTTTCAGTAAGGTCTAAATAAAAGAATTAAACATCATCAGGTACTTATCATAAGCACATCTAAGACAAAACTGACAAACTAGATCAATATTTTAAAATTAATATATGAAAAACTAAATACAAAATAAAAATAACAAGAACTTTTGGGCTCCATGAATTTTGGGATACTTGTCTCAATTTTAAAAAAAAACAACAACCCAGCAAACTCAAACTGAGTTTCAACTTGGAGAATAACTGAATTACTGAGAATAATTGTGTAATGTAGATAAGCAAAGGTGAGGTATTAAAAAAGCCTGTAACATCAAGTAAATTACAGAGCATGCAGTAGTGAAGTTCCCAGGAAAATCCCTATTCATTGTTATAAAATTACCTTAGAATTTTGCATCTAAGTTAAGCATGCAGAAAGCAAAAAGTTGGAAACATTTTAAGTTAGCAGATGGACCCACAGACACAACAAAAGCAAATGTTTTGTGACATTTTATTTGATTTTGTTCAACAGCAAGACAGAAAAATCTCAACATGCTACTTAAATCAATTAAGTAGCTACATACATTTGCTTAGTAACTTTTAATCAAGAAAAAAAGGCAGAAAAGAAATGAAGACACCACAGACAGCAAGACTGATACTGACCAGTTTTGGAAACCACCACCAGAGCTATACAATGGTCAAGCACATTTACACAATGAGTCACACACAAACAAGCATAACCTCCCGAATTCATCTTGGAACCATGTGTTTAAAGTTCATTTTCCCTTGAGAATATTAAACGTGTATGTGTGTGTGTGCTATGCTGCATAATGTGCACTTAAATTTTAACTGAAAGGTTGGTTCAGGTCCACTCAGTAGCATCACAGAAGAATGGCAATCTACTTCTCTAAGACGCTGCTATTGCACAACCCTGGAGCACAGCTCTACCCTGACAGGTCAGTAAAGGTCAGAACTGACTAAGGAAAAGAGAGTACTGGGGATTCCCCCTCTTTTTGTTTTGTTTTTTTAATAAGTTTTAACAATTTTATGTAAAAACAAGAGAAATGAGTAATAAATATCTATTCCATATAATATTATAGCAGCTAACACTGTTGAACTATTTCTACTATTCAGTACTATAGTTAGTAGCAATGAAGATTTAGAGAGAAAATTCAGATTAAACATACAAGGAACTCTACATAGGTAGCTTGTCTACTTCAACTCAAATGCACATACAGCCTTAGCAGTACCTTAAAGACCGCATTTCTTATTTTTTTTAAATGTGTAATGGTATTTATTTTAAATCTATCAGTCATTCCTTTGCATGCACACATCCATCATTTATTTTTTTCACTTTCTGCATATTCCTCATTCACTTACTTCTGTCCCACTCCTGGTCCTACTGTACATACCCAGGAGGTACTTATCCCACTCTGGCCCCAGTCATTGTCAACTACCTTTCCTTTTGATTCACTTTCCCTTACCTTCTGAGTATTTGTGTTGTGTTTTTTTTTAAAGACAAAGTCTTTAAAATGTAATTCTTTCAGACATACATGTCTTACACTTCCTTGTTTAGTCACAAACTCAATTACAAAGAAACTAGAGGCTTTGAAGTGCTGATAGAAAAAGAAAATGAATTAGCTTTGATATTTAAAATGTCAAAATAGATTATCAAAGGCCTTCCTGAAAGTTTAGGATTAAACAATTTCAAAAACATAAAAATTTTCACCTGACAGCTCTCCAGAATGCTGAAATTTCTTACAACTATTGGAAAGCCCTTTTAGAAGGTAAATTAATTTTTTCATGGCTACTTTTAACCAGAAAAAAAAAATCACAGTTATTCAAACCTATAAAACCTTCAGAGATGTATTCTTTGATATTTCTATCTCACAAAACAAAACTGCCTAATTTTCTAAAAGCAGAATTCCCTTTTTCAAGATTCTTTTCCCCTTGCAGTCATTTTTGTCTTTCTTAAAGCTTTGGAAAAGTTTAAGGTACGCAGGTGAAATTGGGGGATTATACTGCATGCAATGCTAAGAAAACAGACAAAGAAATAGAAGGCACAGTTCATGCAGCGATAAAGAAGAGACAGAGAGGACTGTGGGCCTCCTTGAGGAAAAGAGGACACTGACCTGGGAGAGTTCAGGCAGTTTCCACTTCTTCCACTTAAAGCTTCGGAGTCAACTGGAATGTCCACGAGCTTCACACGTTTCTTTTCCACCACTCGTTGCTCATCAATTGACAGACTTTTGTGTGGAGAAAGACTGCCTTCTGGTGTGTTTGCAGAAACTGTTTTCTCTAACTGCACGTGATCTTCTAAATTGTTAGGATAGGACTGTGCTTCCTCTCCTTGAGTTGGTAAGTTATAAACGTCTTCCTCCACGGCCTTGTTGGCACATTCTTCTGTAGCAGTGTTTATATCCAAAGGCAGTACCTCACGTCTCTTTTTTAGTATAGGCACTTCTATATTCTCTGAGAACGAAAGCCATTTAAAAAAATCCAGTCAATGAATCAAAAGTAAGACACAACAACATAAACAGGTGGAACTAGCTAGCTCTAAGGAACAGTATTGCTAGCTTGAAGGCACATAGTTCAAATCCACCAGCTGCTCTGCACAAGACAGACAGGCAACCTCTGCCCATGCAATTTGCTGACTCTGAAAACCTGCTGGAAGGTCAAATATGGGTGAGTTTCAACTTGATAGTACACCACCACCACCACCATCACCACCACCCACCCACTCACAGACACACAACCACACCCTCACATGAGCTCTTGTGGCATGGCCTGCAGTGAGCTGCACTGTAACCCAAAGGTAGGGCTTCTGTAGCAGTTTGAATCCACCTGCAGTTCTGATGGAGAAAAATGGGAAGTCTCGTCCTATGCAATTCACAGCCTTCCCAAAACCCACTAGAGAGTCAGCTATGCATCAGCTCCTCTGCAATGAGAAAGTAAGCAGAACGTGTATATTTTTTCCCATTTCCTCCCTTAAAATCCACTTTTACTCAAAGATACCATTTTTACCTTTTATCCTTTCATATTCCTTTTCACACTAAGCTATTCTAAATCTTTAATAAAATCCCATTATTACATGACAAAATTAGCTTTCTAGAAATGATTTTTCTGAATACAAATCACTATTAAGCAAATATTAGGCAATGAACTTTGTTGATCTTTGTTTCCAACTTTATTCCCAGGTTTCATCAGCATAATTAGCTGCAAAGAATGAATTATACTTAAACAGAAATTGAAAAGAGCTTCAATGTCCAAAAAGGCTTAGGCTTAAAAATATAAGAGATCTACATTTTTATCAGATTCATAAGCAAAACAATTTTAAAAAGCACTCAATATAAAATAGCAGCTCAACGTAACATCTTCAGGTTTTATCTTCAAAAGAAGTTGACTCAAATTAGCTGGCCTCATATTTTGAGGCCCCCATCAAAATTTTCCACGAGATCTGGAACTTCATCATCATCTTCTCTAGGAGCAAGTGGTGCTTTTCCATCCACAAGACTGGGCAGGGTTTCAGCCAGTCTTCTACTCAGACTGTGCCAAACTGGTTTAAGATGCTGGGTAACATTTCCGTCAGCTGCTTTCTCGCAACATGGTCGGTAACAGTGAAAGTGTTCACTGCCAGAGATGCCTGAATGTTAGGATTATTAAAGTGGATCACTGTGCCTTGACATGTAAATATATTCATCTCTTCATTATCAGAGATAGTGTTTACCCCTAACTTCTTTAAGGAAAATTGAAGTATTTTGTCATCTGTTGTAGCTATTCAATGAACCATCTTCTTTCTGAGCGCAGTTTCTTGTCCACCAATGCGCACTTGTGCCTCCAGTCTGGAAAGTTCCTTCTGGTTCATGATCGTTTCTTTCATCTTGTCAGGACATGGGGCCTCACAGAGGACTAGGGCTGACACTGAGGGAGTCTTTGGAAGACCAGCTGAGATCGGCTGCACATGAGGGGAGGTAAGATGGCAGTTGGACAACTATCCTTTAATTTTCTTATTGCTGTTATGTGCCATCAAGTTGCCTACGACCCATGGTGACCCTATGTACAAGAGCTCTGAAGGCTGCTCTGTCCTGAGCCAGTCTCATTCACTCTGACACACCTACTCCCATTATCCTAGTTACTGTATCAATCCATCTCACCCTGGGTCTTCATCCCTTGTGCTGTTCCTGACACTCCATCCTTTGGACCACATCTTACTTTAAGGATCGGTCCCTCCTGGTCATGTGCCCAAAGTATATGAGATGGAGCTTCAAAATCCTAGCCTTTCAGGAGAAAACTTGGTTTCACCCTATGCAAGACAGACTTATTTGTATGTTCAAGACTCTTCTCTACCACCACAACTCAAAGGCATCAATTCTTCTTTCACCCTTAGTCATTATCAAGCTCTCTGATGCATAGTAAGTAATTGGGAAGACCATGTACTGGATGAGGCGCACCTTAGTCTCTAGACTGATACTGCTGTTTCTCAGTACTCCGGAAAGCTCTCTGACAGCAAATTTACCTAATGCAATTCATCTTTGGAATTCCTGGCTGCTGGTGCCAAGAGTGCTGATTGTAAAGCCAAGGAACCTAAAGCTGTTAACAATCTCAATCTCTTCACCGTCTATCATAATACTGCCAATTGGCTCAGTCATGAGAATCTTTGTCTTCTTGATACTGAGCTTCAATCCATTTTTAAAAAAACAGTCCTTGACCTTCTGCAGCAAGTACTTCAGGTCCTCCTCAGTTTCAGCAAGCATAATGTAGGATGCTGATGATTGTTCCTCAGAGCCTGATGCCACATCCCTCTTCATACAGCCCAGCCTCCCAGATGACCTGTTCTGCATATAGATAGAAAAAGTATGGAGACAGGAAGCATCCCTGATGCACTTCCTTCCTGATTTTTAACCATGCAGTGTTTCCCTGCTCTGTCCTGAGGACTGCTTCCTGGTCCAAGTATAGGCTTCACATAAACACAATCAAGTGTTCTGAGATACTCATTCTCCTCAAGGTTAATCACAATTTGTTGTGATCCTCACAGTCAAATGCTTCTGCATGGTTAATAAAACACAGATAGATATCCCGCTGGTACTCTGTTTTCTGCCAAGATCCATTTGACAATGGTGATAAAGTCTCTAGTGCCATGGCCTCTTCTATACTGAGCTTGTATCTCTGTTTGTTCTCTGTCAGTGTACTGATAGAGTGTGTCCCACCTGAATTTAAAAACCAATTTGGGGACAGGTTTGAAGTCTTGAATGAATAAAGACCAGATGAGCTGTGGGAGGCTATCAAGAATATAATCCATGAAGAATGCAAAAGGTTATTACAAAGATAAAACATGAAGAAAGACCAAAATGGATGTCAGAAGAGAATCTGAATATTGCACTAGAGCACTGAGTTAAGACATTAAGGAGCTGAATACAAAATTTCAAAGGGCAGCACAGGGAGACACAACAAAGTATTATAATGAAATGTGTAAAGAATGGAGTCTGAAAATCAAAAGGGCCATAATGGGTTGGCTTGGCATTTTTAAGCTGAAGGAACGGAAGAACAAATTCAAGCCTTGAGTTGTAATACTTAAGGATGCTATCTATGGGTAGACTACTGAATGATCCAGGATATAGTAAAAGAAGGCGGAAAGAATACACAAAAGGAATACAGAGTCACTGTACCAAAAAGAATTGACTGACACAGAAGAATCTCAAGAAACAACATATGATCAAGAGGCAATTGTGATGAAGGAGGAAATTCAGACTGCTCTGAAGACCTTGGCAAAAAAATAAAGCCCCAGGACTTTATGGAATACCAACTGATGTATTTCAGCAAACAGATGTTGCCCTGGACATGCTCACCAGGTTGTGCCAATCTGGAGGACAACTACCTGGCCAAATGACTGGAAGAGATCAATATTTATTACCATTCCTAAAAATAAGTGACTTGAGAGACTGTGGAAATTATCGTACATTATCACTCATATCACACACTAGCAAAATCCTGTTATCCAGAAATGATTGGAACGGTGCATTGACAAAGAATTTTAATTTACATTCAATAAAATATGTTTAAGATTTAAGATGTAGTGCTTACATGGTTAATCAATTTTCTAGTGATAAGACTTTGCTAGTTGTTCCCTAGTATTTTTTTTTTACCATTCTCCCTTAATAAGAGAATTCTAATATTTAATGGTGAACAAGATACCTGAGAGAAACAAAGCTGTACTTCCACGTCTGTATTGCAGGCAAAGACAGGGTCTCATGACTAAATTCTGCCCAACGGGTTACATGGAGATCAACAACACAGATGGAGCCTGGACTCCAACTTTATGAAGTGCAGTGCCCATCCTGGACTGTGTTCCTGGACTTGTATCAGGAAGAAGAAAAAAGTCTTTAATCTGTCTCACTGTTATTTTACATTTTCTGTTATTCTTTAGCAGCAGGGAATAAGTTACCATTTAGAGCATCAGTGGCCCCAATAAAAAGAAATTCTATGAGGTTACCCAAGATGTTGCAATCTTCAAACAAAAAAAAGCTCAAAAGTCAAAGTTCTACTAGAGTAAGATGAATTCAGATAATAAAAATAGATGAATAAAAGATCCATATCTACTGAGTTATCGTTGAATCTTCAACATTTTTTAGCAGATAATTTAGTTATAAACACAAAACTTAAAAATTGCTTGTAACAAAATCTGCATATACCAATTTGTCTTATTGTTATGTACTGATGAATCAGAACTGACTCAATAGTTAACCCTCCAGAAAGTTT